TTTACGTACTATGGTGATTGAACAGCTTGCAACTCTGATGAAAGAAAACACTGAGTACATTCATACCTTTGCTTGAGCTGAAATCTTAATTAATTAAATATTATTGGCTTATCCCCCCCCCACTACATATTATGCTTTAAAGAGCCCTTTGTAATTGAAATTAAGTAGAATAAATTGTAAGCTCCTATGTAGCCTAATATGATTTGTCATAGTATTCCTGATTTCTAATGCAAATAGAATGTACTGTCACTTCAAAGATATGATATGTTTCTAACAGTCTTCCAAGTCTGATGCACTTCATTTTTACCTGCATGATTTCTTTGCGATGTTTGAACAATATTATATTGCTGTCTGGTAAAAGAAGAGGTCAGAAGTAAGGATGATAATATGAAAGAGTGATGGTCAGACTGCTAATATTATTCTTAAAGTATGTATGCTGCATTGATCTGTGTAAGAATTGCCCAATTTCAAATTACTTCATACCACAAATTGGTGCTCATCAATCTTGAAAATGAGTAATTATTTCCCATGTACAGACTTTTTTCAACCTTTTTATATTGATTCTAAACTCTCTCCATGTTGGTTTGATGTTCCATTTCTTTTTCCTCTTCTCTCTTTTTTTATCTTTGAATTAGTGTCATATGTTATTCAACAATTTTTTAAAATCTTCACTAACTGATTTAGTTCAATTTCATGGCGATTTGCTCTGGCAGCAAGTCTCAAAAACTGGGCAGAGTGTACTAATCTTGTAAGAAATGTACCTGAGTGTAAATACAAATGTAATGTGATTTGTTTGAAGTTATTATTATTTTGATAAAAGGACCAAGCAAAGAAGTATTAATTATCACTAATACTGCGATGTGATGCGCTCTATGTCATGATGATAGTGTTTTTTTCAGTCTGAGAAGCATCTCATCAAAGAAGCTGACTTTTGTCACTATGTATGAGCTTCTTTCCCAAGAAAATTTTCATGAGGAGCTGTGTACATTATCGAAGATACAATCGTTGAAGAGACAGTGTATCTTATCAGACATGCTTACCTCCTTTAATTAAAAGCACTTCATTCAGATCTTTGACACAATTTCCTGCTTTATCACAGTTTTTTAACATTGTTTTCAGTTGCCTTTGTGTTGCACTGATAAGGTCAGGAAAGTTAGTGTTGATTGCCGATACAAAATTCTATAGCAAAGACTCAACGAACAATGTGATATGAATTCACATGGATCTTGTTTTTTTATCTTTCCTGTCTCTTTTCATCTGATCTTCAAAAAAACAAAACTTTTAATGAGATGACACCGCTAGCAATGCAGGAAAGTCTCCTGATCTAGATAAAATAATAAAAATCATACGTGCATTTCTAATCTCGACTGTTTTGGCTGTTGTTGAATAGGCAGATAACAGAAAAAGACCCGGTCAGTTGAGTGAGCTACTAAGAAAGAAAAGAACCTTTTGGAATTTCCAAAGTTTAAAGCTGTAACTATTTCCTTTGCACAAGAGGGTCAGACCTTATCACTGAAATCAGTGCTTTGTATTATGATAACAAGACGGCTCTTGCCAGTTGTGACGTTGTTCATGTTTTGCTTCTACTATTTCCAGTAGCTTTTTGTATACTAGTGATAGGTCACACCTTCTTTCTAACAATCAATGAAAAATCTGTACTGGTATTTAATTAACTTCTTTCAGTCAACTTTGTAGGCCTACGTAATATTTGACAACATTATGAAAGCTCTTCTTAAAAAAAAATTTTTTGGGGGGGGGAAGGAGGTGGCTTGAAAAGGTCTTGAGAATTCATTTCTAATACATCTCTCTTTGTTTGCTTGACAGGATGATGTTTACTTTCACAAACTTCCCACTGTATTCGCCAGCTCTTCACACACCACACGACTGTCTCTGTCACTTTGTCATTACTGCGAGTGCTCTTCTTGAATGCTTTGTTGCTGAGTTAGGTTCTATGAGTACCGGTAGTAACTGGTCCACTTGTTTCTGGGCTGTCAAACTCAAGAGAAACTGTAAATGAAGACAAGCCAGTATGAGTAGTTTACTATTCTTTAACCAAGGCTCAAATGTGAAGTGCAAGCAGGTTAAATGATTTGGATCTCATGCTTGACATGTCTTTAGTGAGGTAATGGGATAAAAATTGGGGGCATTTTTCTAGCCATCTCTTTGTTGTATATTGTGAGTGAAGTGCGGTCACGTGTTTTGAGAGAACCGAAGTTCACACAGGTTGATACCACTGTTAATTTACTATGGTTATCTATTTAAAGATAGCTGGAGAGAAAGAATTCATTCAGGTTGATATCTCTATGTAATTTACTATGGCTATGTATTTAAAGATAACTGGAGAGAGATTTTTGTGTATTCTGACGTGAGGACTGGCAGTTGAAGACAAAGATCACACTTTTTTACTATTGAATAAATTACACATGGCTCTCTGGTCTGTACTTTATTACTTTCTTTCTAAACGGTTCTTTTGCTTTTTTGTATTTTTTCCAGTGCATGATAGATGTACTTGACATGAAATTAAGCGCCACAAAAAAGATTTTGAATCTCAAGTACAATTTTTAAAATTCAGAAGAACATTCGGAAATGTTTGCTGTTTTGAATATGTAACAAATGATAACCTGTCAAAGAGTCGGTTAAGATGTAAAATGGAAACATTTAAAATGGTCATTTTAAGAATGTTGTTCAGCTTGCTACATTTTCTCTTCTATCACTGTCATTGCCAAATTTTTCTCTGCCTTCCTATTTTTCAGTCACTTTCTTCAAGGTTATCTTTTTCAGTAAGAGTGCGCGTTCAGCTTTGTGAATGGATGATAAAGATATATTGAGCTCTTTAATCTTTCAACACTTTTGTTGTTTGTTTTTGTATCTCACCTTTTCTACAGCACAAAATATTACACTGAATCTTGAAGAAAAAAATTAAGTAGATTAGTTACCTTTTAAAGAAATATATATTACTTTTTTGTTTAGGATAAAACTGTCTATTTTAGTCCCCCTACATAAAATAAAGTTATAAGCCTAGAGTAAACTAATCTCTCGGCTAATGCTCTTTGTCTGAGGACTGTAATGCCAGAGGCTGAATATTTTTTCACCTTTTGAAAGGTTGATATCGTTAGATATGTTCTTTAAAATCCAAATGGGGAGTTTTTTAACAGTGTTATTTTTTCAGGGTTTCCTGTAGCTCTTACCCAACTTGTTTTTGTCGTTTTGAGAGGGATATTAATTAACTTGAAGGTTCTGAACACATTGCCCTCAGTTTCAGAACTTCCTCTTCTCTGACACAAAGG